CTCTGGACTGTTTAGCTGCAGAAGTGTTTGAGGAGGGATGGTCAAGTGGAGGTGCTGAGGAACCAGAGAGACGTGACAGAAATACAAGCAAAAAGTGAGGTAAAGTAAAGATACTAAGATGCTCAAGGTGCTTTTCTGATTACTTTTCGGAATTTTCTAGTTGTCTAAAATGAACCTGTATTATTTCCATGACCAGAAACATCCCAGTAAATTAGTTTGAGGACAGAAGTCCTAGGCCAATGAGTACAGGTGAAACCATTTCTTGGGTCTGTGGTAGAAATTAGGCATCCCAGCGCTGGCCACACTGCTGTACACTGCCTGAAAAGACTAGAAGGATTGCTGGGAGCCAGGGTCCTAGAACTAACCAGTGTCTGCTGAGGAGTGAGCAGAGATTCCAGCCTTGGCTGGATGCTTGTGGGCGGAGTAGGGAGGTCTTCCTGGATTCTCAGCTTGAGCCTCTGAAACTGGATATTGGGAATCAGAATACTTGGGCTTTGTGGGGACATCTTAACTTGTATGACATCTAGCCAGTCATCTGGTGTAAAACCCCAGATGATCTCTCAGAACAGAGATCTGGTTCTCTGGAAGATGACAATGAAATCCAACATTGTGGACTTGAGCATTGCAGTCTTCAGGCACCTGCAGCATAGAAAGCATCTCTCATGCGGCAGCTTCTTTACTGTCCTTCACAACTCTGGTGGCCAGCGGGGCAGATGTTGTGAGTTCATGGCTGAAGCCGTTACATGTAGAGTTCACTTGGCAGAGGCACCAGAGCTGACACCCAGTGTAGCATGCATGGTGCTCTGGCTAGTGAACTCCAGCTGCACAGCTTATTTCCTTCACCCAAGCCTAGCCCACATCTGAGGCCTCACACTTGGGCCACTCACATGAGCCCAGCCCTGGCTGTAGGTGGGGTATTGAGGGAACCACACAGCTCGGCCTCCTTAATGGCAGCCTGACTTAACCTGGGTCTGGTCCTAAGACCTGGCTTCAGCCTCATGCTCAGCCTCATCAGTACCCAAACTAAAAGCTTCTTTTGGTAATTGGGCTTTGATCTTAGTGCTTTGGGACTCATCTGCTCCCACGCCCTCTTGCCCTCATGAGGCATGGGATGCTAGCTGCTTTCCTCTGTTTACTCTCCAGTGTCACTTCAGACGTGCCTCAGGACTAGGCTGTTCAGGGTACTGCTCACCCACTGTGAGCACTTGCTGGAACCTGATTCTGGCAGAAAACAAAGCTGAGAACCTACCCTTAGTTTAGAGTCTGTGTTTGTAGACTGTGCTGGCAAAGTTCATAGAGCAAATGTCCATACCCCTATTCGTCTGCAGAAGGACCTGGAAAAGCCACTGTACTTTACGTTAGTTTTTGTTCTTGTGATACAATAAACAGTTTAAGGGAGTCAAGCTTTGTTTGGACTCATGATTTTAGAGGTTTAAGTCCATAGTCAGATGCTTCATTATGTTCAGGTTGTAGTGAGGCAGAGCATCATGGCTGAAGGGTGTGGTAGAGGAAAGAGCTGCTCACTTGATAGTGGGCAGGAAGCAGAGAGCCATAGGAATGGGATGGAACAAGATGAATCTTTCCACAGCTCCCACCTCCCCCACCTCCCCAAAATGTTACCAAATACATCAAGAAATTATTTCACTGATTAGATCAGAGCCCTTAGGATCCAATCCCTTTCCAAAAACCACACCTCTGAACACTGCTGCATCAGAAACCAAGCCTTCAACACAGGAGTTAGGAGCACATTTCACATCCAAACTTTGCCAGTTTACTAAGAGGCTGGTAGTCAGAGTAAGATCCTTGAAAAGACATGGACACATGGTCTCCGGGTGGCTTCAATGAGGCCTGTAAGGCCTGAGTAGATGGAGAAGACATCAATGATTGGGGTTTCCCAAGGAACTTAGGATGCTAGGTGAGCATGCAGTCAACAGTGAGTGTCTATGGACAAGTCACTAAGGGACTAGCAGAAAAGGTCAGCTAGGTCCAACTAGAACTCATTGTGAAGAGTCTGAGAGAGGTTGGTTTTGCCCCACAATTTAGTCTCTCCCCATAATCAACATGTGCAAAGGGTCACAAAGAAGCCACGAACTCCTGGTCTGTCCTGTGTTCCCTGATCATATCTGAGGGCTCCATGGTCTCCCTCAGCCCTGGAGGGGCAGCAGTGGCCAACTTCCAGGGAGTTGGCTGGAAGCTGTCAACTGTGGTGAAGGGTAGGATATGGGAGTGTTGAAGAATGATGGGAATGATGGGCCAACTCATTCTTCTACAGAAAAGAGATCAGGTGAACCATACAGTCCCCAAGTTCTCTAGGGGCTGACATGTCACCTTCTTAGATGCTTAGAATCAAGTCCTGACCTTTGTGTTTTTAGGAAACAAATGCCAGGGATAGAGGTGGGTTAATGGCATCTTAGCTATGGAGAAGTGCTGTATTGTGAAGCCAAACTGCTGTTTTCCTCAGGGATGTGAGAAGAGCTTCATAATAGATGTGGGTGTAGAAAAGCCTGGAGCAGAAAGATAGTTCTGGATGCGAGGGTGAGGGGTGTGTGTGTGTGTGTGTGTGTGTGTTTCTGTGCTATGGCTTCCCGGGGAGCCCAGCTACGCTCTGACCCTTCTCTGCAGTGGCCCTGACCTACCCATAAGGCTACAATGCAGGATGCCTTTCCTGTGCTCTGGGCACAGCTGCAGCTTTAGAAAAACATTTTTAGCAGGCAGAGCTTAGTGGAGATATACCACTTCTAAAAAGATCCCCAAACCTCTGAATTATTTATCCACTAAAGCATTCATCATTGATGAGGTGGCTTTCTTGCACATTCTCCCCCCAGCCTCCTCATGGCAGCTATGTTGAGCCACACCTTTGCAAAACGTTTTCTCACATGTCCCTGTGAGCTTGGCTATGTATGGCTAGAGCTTTTCAGGGGCACCAACAGCCTTCCTGAGCTGGGGGGTATGGAGAGTGGCAGTATGAGGCTGGGCCTAGAGCCTAGCTCCTGGCTGGCAGCCCAGTGCTGTTCCTAATGGTGACCACCGTTAGAGTGGAGATGCAGGGCCTTCCAGCTCTTCCTACAATGCTGCTGGCTGGAATGTGAAGACCAGGCCTGCTCCACCCTTTTATAAGAATGCCTCTTGAAGAGCTGTCCAGGACAGGTAGAGCAGTCTCTGAGGTCAGGATGGGCCTGTCATCTGCCAAGCTCCCCACTGGTGGACACTGCTCAGGTAGCTGCCCTTCTGTCATGACCCCAGGGGGCAAGTCTGACCTCTTTCATGGAGACCTTCACCTGCCCATCACATCCTTGATGCCTAAGCCACACATCAGGTCAGTGAGTCAGGGCCACCACAGTGGTGCATAGCTCTTGTTGGGAATGGAGCTGTCCTGTGGCTGCAGAGTTCCTTCTGGATGTGGGATGCTTCCTGTCTTCCCTATAACTCAGGTTCCCCTGGCTGAGCCTCCTTCCCTCTGCTTCTGCCTTGACCAGGTGAACCTGGATTCAGGTGAAAGGAGCTCATACCCACTGGATCTCAGCTCCCTGTGTCTGTGTTGGGAGCTGACACCCACTGGCTGCCTAGCTTCTCTGGATTCTAGACTTCAGCAGTCACTCAATTTCTGCAGTGGTCTGATTTCTGTGGAGTGGTGACAGAACTTTCCAGAAACAAAGCAGATAGGTCAAATGGAGAGGCTGGCAACTTGTTTTAAATTGTACTGTACAGTATCAAGCTTTTTAAAAAACATTTTTATGCTTTATTATTTTTTTATGTGTATGAGTGTATTGCCTGCATGTATGTGAGTGCACCCGTGTCATGCAATGCTGCGGAGGTCAGAAGAGGGCTTAGTATTCCCCTGGAACTAGAGTTAAGGACGGTTCGCAGCTGCCATGTGGGTGCTGGGAATTGAACCCGGGTCCTCAGAGTTGGCTCAGTATCAAGCTTTTTAATTCTGAATTCACAAAGTATCTACTATTTGTGGCTGCCAGCCACTCATTCTTGGAAGAGGATGGGACAAGAATGGAATTGGAGACAAGTTCTCTTCACTTGGGTCTGCTTTAAACAGGGTCTGACTCACTGCAACAGGGCTTAGAGGGGAGTGAAAGAGGCAGGGGAATTCAGCTGAAGAGCTGGCACTGGAGAACAGGGCTGAGAATGCCTCTTCCACCTTCTGAGCCTGGCTCACACCTCATACCCTGCCAGAAAGCCTCTATCACAATGTGTGCAGAACCACATATATTCACCCAGTAGAATATATGGTAAGTGCCACAAGAGGGGGCGGGGCAGGCTTCCAGATGGCAGGACTTGGGGACTCAGTTCAGGTCTGCCAGTGTCCCAGTGCTTGGCACTCCGGGAGTTAACACTTCATCTGCCCTAGCTGAGCCAGGAGGGCTCTTCAAATCTCTGTGTTACCACTTCTTTGAGTGTCTGTGGTTAAAATACTTCCTGTCTCTGAGCCTTGGCTTTCTCAGGTGTGACTACCTCATACAGATGCAGTGGCATCCCACTGATGATCATGCAGTCCCCAAGCATTTCCCTCAGGTGAGAGGTGCCGCCTCACACCCTCTGGAGGTGGTACCTATACAGCTGCTGTTGGGAGGAGTTATCCTATGAGGGATAAGTTCATGTTTCTGGGTATTCACCCTGTGCCTGTGCAGAGAATGATCCCTGTTCACATGCATGGCAGGAGCAGGATCTATTTTCTGTCTGCTTTGCACATCTATTTCTTGTGGGTTGGTTAGTTGTCCAGGAGAGCTGGATCGTTTCTGACTGAACTTATGAAATGGGCATCTGAGCCTATGAGATGGAAACCTAGATCTGGGTGCAGTAATCTGCTATGGCTGCTACACAACAGGACCCAACACGTCCAGGTCCTATTGTCCTTAGAAGACCTGACCCCATCACAGGAGAGTCTGGGTGCCGAGCCCAGGATGGAACTTGTGATGGAACTGCTTGTCTCAATAGAGTCAGGGTCCCTGACTTAACAGACTGAGAGTCAGCCAGGGGACTGGCAGGTATGCAGGACTCAAACACAGAGACATTTATTGTTTGGAAGGGCAGGTGTTCTACTCACATGGGTTTTAACAAACATATCAATAGGCGAGCTCTGGTCTCCACAGACTTCTGCCTGGTGCTCAGCTGTTCCCTGAAGCTGACGCCCTCTCTCCATGTTATACATGGGATGCCACTGGTAGAATGTATTCCCTAAACAGCTGGATGGAGCTAAAGAACATTCCAAGCTAAACAAAACCAGCCAGTCTATGGGACTGAAGCTATAAGAGCACTGAAAGAGACAGGGAGACTACTGAGGAGGAGGGTGGCAAGCAGGACAAGCCTGGGCCTCGTGCAGGAATGTTGAGGTCCAGCCTGTCCTGGAGGTGGCTCCAGCCATGCTGGGCTGTTCTGGGGAGTTCTTAGTCTTCAGTTACAGGTGGAGGGATGAGCTGTAGCTGGAAGTTCTCATTCTGGAAGATGCTGTTGAAAGCAGGGCTGCTCTGGGAGCCAGCGAATGGCCTGTAGCTGTCACTGCTGCGATTCTGGGAGAGTTCCACAAGGAGAGTGAGCTGCGAAGAAAAGGGCACACATCGTGTGGGAGGGCACGATCTCTGTGGGTGACTGGGGAAGGGGCAGCGATGAGCTGAAGAGGGTCCTGTTCTCCTGGCTACATGAAAGACAGCACTACCTGTCTTGGGTTTGGATTGCTGGGCCATGTCTCATGAGAAGGCTGTGTCTCTGGGTATACTCATTTTTAAGGTGCCAACTTCCTCACTCCTAATGCAGAGGGCCTGGGTGGGACTGCCCCTTCTCCAGCTGCTTCTCTGGGCATATTCAGGGCACATCTTTCCCATACTCTCCCTCTTGGCATATTCTCTTTGAGGTGTAGGGTCCAGAATTACCACTACTGGCTCTGTCCTTTCTCTTTTGTACTCTGGACACTCAGCCACCAATTCAACTTGGGCTCTAGAATGGCACTCATGGACCCCATCTCTTCTCCAAATGAACCCTCCCTGCTTATAGCTTCACCAATGGCCTTGGCAATACCCCCAGTCTGTCAGTGGCTCAGTTTTGGAAGGCTTGCCAAGAGGAAATATTCCTGCCAGCCCCACTGGGAGGTCAGGCTTCACCCTTGGTTGCCTCCTCACCTAGCTGGCTTTCTGCAAGTTGGAGTTTGACAGTCTGGTGTCCTTGACCATCACGGGAGGTGAGTTCATACCCAGTGGCCTGCTGCCTCTTGCCTGCTAAAGTGGCTTTGGCGTTCCAAAGGGAATCAGCTGGATTCTCCCCCAGCACCAACTTAAAGGAAAGCTCAAGGCCAAGATATATGCTCCCCAGAACAGTTGATAGGACCTGGAGATGGAGCCATGGTGTCCCATTGCCACTCAGGAAATCTGCCCAGATTTCACTGAAAGGTAATGAAAACGTGCCTGTAGGGGACACCCCAAAGAGAGGCGACTAACAAGTGAGTCCCCAAGGCAACCCTATATGTCTGGCTCCTGGCAGAAGTCAGTCTCCAGACCTCTGAAAGACCCAGGTAACTATATCCACCATCTTTTCATAGCAACGGGTTAGGTGCTTTCCATAGGTGACATTTCTAATACTCCACAAGAACCTCAAGCTGGGTCACCCTGCAGCAAATGGTAGGATTCAAACTCAGATCCTGGTAGCAATTTCTGTTCAGCCAAACTGCCCATGGTCTTGCCTTCTCTGGAGATTACATGTTGTCCATCACCTTGCACACTGCTCACCTGTCCTGTCTTTCCACTGTTCTGACCTCAGGGGTCTCCCATCACACAAGCAATAGTGATACAGGGCTTATATGTCCATTTGTCACTTGGCTGACAACACAATCAGTAACTTAGCCCCTTATTCTAAGTACCAGTTTATCAAAACTAACCTACTCCTAATTCCTGGCTCAGTGACATGGCCATGGTCTACTTCATACGTAGTAACTGCATGCTTATACATTGACTATGAGCACTGAGCTGTGCATGTAAGGGGCCATAGCTTCCACGAATACCATGCAGGGTAGAGAGCCCCACCTCATGCCACTTCCCTCCTCTATAAGCTGCTAAGCTGTCTGGCAGCCTGTGAAGGGTCTGTGAGGAGATTTTGCCAAGTTTCCAACAAAACAAGTGCTGCTGGACTCAGGGCTTCTACATCTGACACTGAGGTAGAAAGACCAACCGCCAAGTACGATTCCTATTTCCTGAGAAAAGGTCCTTTTCTACCCACCTCCTGTAACTTCGAGACTAGGAAATCACTGGACCCGAGGAAGGGCTCATTGTGTGAAGCAGAAGGTGATTCTGACCTCAGTTCCTGGTCAGAACTTGACAGTACCCAGTTCAGTAAAACTGTGGGGCCTCCTATGGGAGATCTTGAAGTTTCTACAAATCACAACCCTTCCTCAAGAGGGAGTGAGAACCGCTTTTCCTCCATGTCTGCTTGAGAACCAGGGCGAAAGCAGAGGGACCAGGCTGAGGCCAGAGCACAGGAGAGGCTGGACCTGGACAAGCTTAGATGACCACTGGGCTGAGTAGGGCGGGGTGTGGCCTGGGGTGGAGGTGGTGACAAGTTCTTTCTCCCTCCTTCAATTGGCAGGAGGCCAGAATGGGCTATCCAGGAGCTAATTGCCACAGAGGAGGACAGGATTGTTCATCAACCAGACTTGCCACAGCCTTTGTAGTGACAATGACCCAGGGCACTTGTAGGTTGATGGGAAAAAAGCCTAAGAGTGCAGAAGATGCTGACAGGGTCTCCTCGGGGTGAGGGTGGGATGACGGAATGGCACATGGGGCTACTGCCGAGGCAGGTACAGGCAAGGAAGAGCAGGCTGAGAGAGCCAAGGGGACATTTCTACAGTGCCCATGGGACAGTTGACTGATGTGTGTCAGTGACAACAGGTAGGCATGATAGCAGTCTCCATTGCAATCAGGTGTGGTCATAGATCTACCTTTCAGATAATGGAATCAGAAGTATTGTGCACATTGTCTTTAAGGAGTGCTATTCATCTTCGCTTTGCTCTGTTTGCTAGCTGGAATACAGACAGGTCAGAGCTGGAGCAACCATGCTGAACTGCCTGAGTATAAGCCCCAAGCTGGAGGAACCTGGAGGGAGGTTCAGGAAGTGCCCTGGCCTCCTGCATTTTTCTATTTTGTTCAAGCACTGTTGCTTGGTATTGGTCTTTCATGGCCAGTATTCAACTGACATAAATGTTCAGGAGGGCCTGGGCTATAGGGCAAGTTTGTCAGTCTTCTATATAAACAAAGGCCTCCTAGAGGAATTAAGCTCCTGGCTTGCTCTCTCTGAAGTAGGTCAAACACAGAAGCCCTCTGTACTCAGAGACCCTGATAGGTAAGGGACAGAGCTCTACTGCCTCAGCCCACTCTGTCAAATTCTGATTGCTTTTAGGGCCAGGACTGGTGGGTCATGTTGTCAGAACAGGTATGACAGGGCACCTTCCAAGCTAGGAGGCTAGAAGCAGGACTCTACATCACAAAAAGACCTAGAGTTTTTGCCTTTACGAAACAGCAAATTACAAATAGGAAAAGAGAAAGCCAAACAGTCATACAGACTTTACCCTAGAACTTCCGCGGTAGAGTTGGCAAAGCTGATCAAAGGCTTGGACTTGCTGTGGATCCAGAACAGGTTCTGAGGTTGCCTAAGAAGATGAATGAAGGATCAGATTAATCACACGTCTATGGGCAGCATCTGAACTTACCCGAGTGAAGCAAGACGTTGTCCGAGCAACTAGGGAGAGATTTTTCTGTGCATTTTTTAGAAAGGGCCTGACCCTCTGAAGGTCTTCTTTGATACTTGTGGCGGTTTGAATGAGAATGTCCCCCATAGGCTCCAAGTATTTGAACATTTTGTGCCTACTTAGTGGTGCTGTTTTGGAAGGTCTTAGAAAGTGTGACCATGCTGGAGGAAGCATGCCACCATGGGTGGGCTTAGAGAGTTCTTAAGCCTTGCCAGATCTCCAGTCCCTCTCTGCGTCCTGTGACTGCTTGAAGATGTGAGAGCTTAGCTTCTGCTCCTCCTCCAGCCACCTCTGCCACCATGCCTCCCTGCCATGATGGACTCTTGCCCCTTTGGAACTGAAAGCCAAAAAACTCTTCCTTTTGTAAGTTCCCTTGGTCATGGTGTTTTTACCACAGCAACAGAAAAGTAACTAATACAATGCTGCTCCAAGCTTGATCCTTTATCTATAGACCATTTTTTCAATGAAGCTTCTTAGCCCTCTTTGCCAGTACTAGGCAGAGCAACTTGGTGCATCCAGTCTTGTATTCCTATAGCCATCACTTAATGTGGCGCACACAGCAATCCCTTCTTGTGATGGTACTGAGGATCATCATCATGCCAAACTTCAGCCAGAAGCCACCCAAGGGGCTGAAATATTAGTCTACTTCTATATGAAGAGGGGAAGTTGAAGCTGCAGTCTTGTTTGTTCCCTGCCACTACGGCAGAACCTGCCAGTGCTGTGTTCCAACTCTTAGAGGGGGGGATCTAATCCAACTCCTTCTTGGAGAGGAGTGGGATTCCAGGGAGTCAGAGGCAAATCTGAACACTAGGTCTCACACTGGCCTGTTATGTGACCTTAGGTGAGTCATTTCACTCCTCTGACCCTGGAGGTGGGTAATGCTTTCCTTTTGGTTACTAATAGTTAAGTTAGATTACAGAAAGTGTCTATTCTGCCTCCCAGTAGGCAAGGGCTCAGAGATACTAGCTTTGATCCATTTAGAGATACCCCCAGTTAAACGCTTTTCTCAGAAGTGTTCTGCATTTGTGCATAAGATGAGTAAAGAGTTGTCTGTCACTGCCCTGCATTACGAACCTCTTAGGAAGGAAGGACTCCTTGAACACACACCCAACATGCATGACCATATGAACCTGGGTGTTGACCTGTGTGCACACACGCATCCAAGTGGCCTCTGTTCAGGGTGTGCGAGGCATTCAGGACAAGGGTGATGGGGCAAGCCCTGAAGGCCTAGTGCAAATACTAACAAGGCGAATGTGTACTGAGCACATGCCAAGTCCTGGCTGCTGAATGTCACCTGATAGCCAGCTCTCCAAATCTTCAAAAGCACTCTGACAAAGGTTCTGGCAGGTCCATCTTCCCACCAAGAATGATCTGAACCTTTAAAAATTATTAATTAATGGGCTTGGGGGGGAGGCATGCATGCCTTGCTACGTATATTGAGGTCAGAAGTTGGTTCTCTCCTTCTACCATGAGGGTCTTGGGGAATAGAGAATTGAATTCAGCTTGATAGGTTCGATGGCAGAGGCCCACTGAGGTATCTCACCGGCCCGTGAAAGTGTGATATACAAAAATATTAAGTCGTATTTGTACAGAAGCTTTCTGACTAGGATTGGGAGAAAGCAGTGTATCAGGAGACCTGCTTTGCTGACCTGATCTGCAGGTACCACAGCTGTCTTCCAGCTAGAGGAATGAGAAAAGAGAAGCTCCACAAAGCAGCAGCTGATGAGGAAGCCCACACCTCTCAGGCTTCTGGGATCCCATGTGGCACCCCAAAGATGTTAAGGCTGATCTAGCTTCTGGCCACAGCCTGGGCATGGCCAACTCAGTTCTTGATGCACTCAATACTATGGGCTGGCTGACATGGTGGCACTGTGGAAGTGCTAAGAGACAAGAGGGGAGACCTCTAGGGGCTCCCCTTGCATGCTGCTACACTCATTTCTCTGGATCTGTCAGACATGTGGAGGGTCCCACTATAGCCTGAGAATGTTAAAGCTGCCTTGTCACTTTTCACCAACCTCTTACCTAAGTACCTTTGATAGGGAAAATGACACTGCAGAGAAAGTATGTGGGAAACCACGCTTCTAACAGACTTTATAAGACGCCCCAGGGAGTTCTAAGCTAAAGAAGATCTCAAAGTCTGATAAATACTACAAACCTAGACTCAAACCAAAAGCCCAAGAGGAAAAGTATTAAAGCCTTTAAGGCACAGTCATTGGAATAAGGAACCAGCCCCTGGTTATTGTGTGTTTTAGTTTTACTTCTGTTGCTGTGACAAATACCCTGACAAAAAGCACCTTATAGAAGAACAAGTTGATTTGGTGTATACTTCCAGGTTGCAGTCCATTATGGTGGGGAAGGCAAGGCAGGAACTTACAACAGCACATCCACAGTCGAGAGCAGAGAGAGAACACATGGACACATGGATCCTTGCTTGCTTGCTCTCAGCTAGCTTTCTCCTCTCATACAGTTCAGGACCTCTTTTTTTTTCAATCTTTATTATTTTTATTTTATGCGTATGAGTGTCTTGCCTGCATGTGTAAATGCATCTGTGTCATGCAATGCCCATGGAAGTCAGAAGAGGGTGTTGGATTCCTCTGGAACTGGAGTTACAGATGGTTGTTAACTGCCATGTGGGTGCTGGGACTCAAACCCAGGTCCTCTACAAGAACATTCAGTGCTCTTAACCTCTAAGTCATCTCTCTAGTCCCCAGTTCAGGACCTCTTGCTTAGAAAATGGTGCTCCCCACAATGGACTGGCTCCCCTACATCAATTAACAAACAAGACAATTCCTCACAGACACACCCACAGGCCAACCCAAGAGAGATGAATTCCTCATTAAGATTCTCTTCCCAGAAGGTGCTAGGTTGTGTCAGGGTGAAAATTAAAACTAGCATACAAGGGTTCAATAAGGAGGGTCCAATAAGAAGCAAGGGGAGGACGGACTAGGAAAAGCACTACTAAGACGGGTCATTCAAAAATGATGCTGCAAATACCAAGTCAGCATGTGACAGAACAGTGGGAACCAGAAAGCTGTCCCCTTAATGAAGGTGCTTGTGCAAACTAGTCCTTTACCTTGAAGGGATATTAAATTATACATCAAATCTCAGGAATCTATACAGCTCATGGAGACTACCACATGAGATATCATGGGGGAAACTAGATGGTGCTGGCCACTTTTGAAGATCTGCTGAAGAAATTTCCACCAGACCCTGTCATAAGAAAACCCATGTTGGACAACATAGTCTCTGTAGTTCTGTTTCATTCTTTCATTCCTTTGTCCCTCCTTCTCTCCCTCTTCCTTCTCTCCTGCAACAAGTGACACTAGGTCTCACTGTGCAGTGCTGGATGGTCTTGAACTCACATTAGTCCTGCCTTTGTCTCCTGAGTAACTGGAATTACAGATTGTATGTGTGTGCCACTTTGTTTGGCCTAAATGGTCTGGGACAGAGAATCAGTAACTGAAGAGGACAGGGTGGCAAACATTTCTTCAGCCTAGGGTAACTTCTGGCTTTATGTCATTTCTCCCAGACATGCAGTTTTTACAAATCTAGATTTCTTACTCAGCGGATATATTTTGGAAGCAATTCAAATCTTTTTAGGAATGTGATGGTCATGATAGTAGAATGCTGCTGTTAAAAACAGAACCACATCACCAAGTATTGCATAGCATGTGAAGCTCTTCTAGGCACAGGATACAATAGTGCCTACCCCTGAGAGTTTGTTGGCACAATCAGAACATGTGGAAGTCTCGAATGAAGCTCTAGTTCATGTTTTCTGACCCAGTGCTTCTCATACTTTAACATGCAGAAGAGTCACTGAGGGATGTTGCTAAAATGCTGCTTCTTGCCATGTAGCTACCTGAAACCCCAGAACTTGGGAGGCTAAGGCAGGAGGATGGTCAGCCAGCCTTGGGTACTGCTGAGACCTCCCAAAAAAGATTTTACTTAATAAAAGCAGATTCTGGTGAGCAGGTGCAGGGTGAGGTTTGAGGTTCTGCCCCTCAAGAAGGGGTCTAATCCAAACTTCAGAACAGCTGAGAGGGGCTAGAAACCAACCTTCATAGCATCCTCATGGTGACTAGATGCTCTCAGGTTACAGGAGTTGTCTCCTGGATCAGCTCTATCAACCCAACTATTTAGTTTTTCTAAGGTGGCTCAATTAGGTATGCTGCTTTCAACATTTGCTGGATTCATACACATTTTGGCAATACTCATTAAGAAAATTTAATCAGATGAGAATGTCCTTGCTACATGGTTTATCTGAATGTTACTGAAGTGAACAGCGTCATGAAAATTGAAGAAGGCTGGGAGATTTGTCTAATAAATGTGCACATTCATGTATACCCACCCATATACATGGGCATGGGAGGTGGCATTTTTCAGGTCACACAGCATACCCAGATGCGTTGGCAGGGTTAGTACTGAGTTCTGGGCTTGCCAAAAATCCCATTTTTCTACTAGGCCTTTAAACTCCTTGGAGATGTCGAGGTTTTCAGTAAGGATAGCCTCATACATTGAAAGGTATAGCTGTTCCACTGTAATGAATAACTGATGGCGACAGGTTTTTCTCATAACACAAGCCAATCACTCTGGGCACTGAGAGACTGCCTTCAGGGTGACTGCTAGGGCTGCCCTGGGCCCTCTAGAAACAGAGCCACTGTAGGATGGTGATGCCCATGCATGGCTAGAGCCATACATGGTGTGGTGGTTTGAATGAGAATGTCCTCCATAGGCTCCAAGTATTTGAATATTTTTGTCCCCAATTAGTGGCAATGTTTTGGGAGGTCTTAGAAGGTGTGGCTATCCTGGAAGCACATCACTGCGGGCAGGCTTAGAGAGTTCTTAAGCCTTGCTGGATCTCAAGTCGCTCTCTTGTTTCTTGTGCCTGCTTGAACATGTAA